GAATAAACTTGTGTCTGAAGTCGAGGTTATGTTATGCAAAATCTCGGATTGGGGCAGACTTAATTTAGTCCAATTTAACCCCATGAAGACACAGGTTTGCGCGTTTACCGCGAAGAGAAAACCCTACGCCGTATCTCCCTTTTTTGAAGGCACTCCCCTTGTTGCCACCGATTCGATCGGAATTCTTGGGGTCGATATATCGAGCAGCGTTCAATTTCGCGGTCACTTGGAAGGAAAAGCCAAGCTGGCTTCTAAAAAACTCGGTGTCCTAAACCGAGCGAGACAGTATTTCCTGCCGACACATCGGTTGCAGCTTTATAAAGCACAGATTCGGCCTCACATGGAATACTGTTCTCACCTCTGGGCTGGGGCACCGAAATACCAGCTCCTTCTTTTTGACCGCATTCAACGAAGAGCTGCTCGAATCGTCGACGACCAAATCCTGTCCGATCGCCTCGATTCTTTGGCCTTGCGTAGGGATGTTGCATCCCTATGCATTTTCTATCGGATATATCATGGGGAGTGCTCTGAGGAATTGTTTGGGTTGATACCTGCTGGTGAATTTCACCATCGTACAACTCGTCAAACCGCCAAGTACCATCGACACCACCTTGATGGTTGGCGTTCCACCACAGTGCGTTTTTCACGAAACTTTCTACCCCGCACAACTACTTTGTGGAACGAGTTGTCGCCAGCGGTATTTCCAGACCGATACGACTTAGGAACCTTCAAGAAGAGAGCCTATTCCTTCCTTAAAGGCCGGCAACGCAATTGCGACTCAACCGATGTTGCAAATGTCCATGGGCTGCGGTGATCGCTTATCACCAGGTGACCCACATGCTCGTTTGCCTCCTATTCCCATAAAAAATAAAAAAAAATATATTATATAATTACATTTCGATACCTTAATTTTCAAATCACGAAGAATTGCCCCTTGTTCGAATTCATTTTACACCTAAACATTCACCACACATAGAATAAAGAAGTGACAGGATTTTTGCTATGTCAAATATTACGTTAGACTGAGTATGATTAAAATTAAAACTCCATAAAATAACCAAATTTAACATATGATATGGTTAAATTTGGTTATTTTATGGGGTTAATTTCACACAATTATGATGATTTGTTGTAACTGAAATAGTCAGTTCGTTGTAGTAGTTTGATTGAATAAATTTTTAAAGTTAATAACATCTTCTTTGTTAGAATAAGCTCAGTAGCGTTTACCTTTTATGACATATATTATTACTCTTTCAAAGCTACGTCGCTACTGCAAAAAACATGAAACAAAAATTGTGTATTGATGATATTAGAAGTGAAAACAATCCTATCAAACAGAAATGTGAACTAAGAGCTATGTTCAATATTATGATACATGTTTTGGTTGCTGATTCAACGACAAAAGAAGTGAGATCTATATGGGTGCCAAGTTCATATGGTCGGCCCATAAGTTTATTTTTAACAAGATTAAATATTTTATAATAACTTAAAATGTAATTTCTTCTTATAACTTTTGAATTTTTAAACTTTTAAATTGAATCCTAAAGCCTGTCTTGGTCGATTCGAATGTTCGAATTATATTATAGCCTTCGCAAGTTCTATAGCTGTAAGTACTTATCTTATTCTTCAGAAAATTTGGCTTGTTTGTAGAATTTAGTTATCGACTCGACTGTTTTAGTATGCACTTAATACTGATAAAAGTTATAAAAGTTAATTCTTTTGTGTTATTTTCTATATTTTCTTCTACATTTGAAATGTTCGACTGAATTGCCCATTCAGTATCCGGAATTTTTTAAGCATTTTCTGTTTATACTTCATCATATCAGCCGTAGGACGTACACTGCTGAACATAGGCCTCCCCATTGACTTCCACTTCGACCGTTATGTTATACTTAACTTGGCGAAATTCGAGCGGTACGACGAGCGTAGGCGGTTGTACTCTACAATAGAGCTTTCCTGTGCCTTAATTTGACTTGGATCTAAATTGATAAGATGTAGCCCATCTAAGGTTTTAACTCTGAAGAGTCGTACGTAATCCTGTCCTTTACTAACTAAATACAGAGGAGCCTATGTCGAGAAGAGCGTTGTCAACGCTGAGGCCTTGTGATTTGTGGCTAGTAATAGAATATGCTAAGCAAATAGTGATTATTTAATACCTGACACATTCTAGTTCGTAAATTAAATTATGCTTAAATTTTATTGTAGCTTTAAGTGCACTATTGTCAACGTCCCGATGTACCTTCTACATTTGTTCAATAGATCTATTTACCAGTCCATTACTGGCATCTATGTTTCTTAGCAACATTACAATTGCACTCGTTATAATTGTATTCACGTGAATACCTATCTTAAAATTCACATAAAGCAGTGTTTACTATAATCAAAATTGGTAAATGATAGCAGCACCGGCTTTAATCAAAATCGATGACAGCCGATGATGCTGTCATCGATTTTGATTGCTGATTTCCTACATTACAGGCACTATAATTAAGTGTTCCTAATAGAATCAGTCAATTAAAAAGAATAAAAATTTACTAGTTTCTGATTTATTCCTTGGAACAACTGGATGCCAAACTTGAACTTCTGGGTCATCTGTAACTTAGTTACAGTTTTGGTCTATAGATCATTCAGTGATAAAAATTAAGATTTTTTTAAGACGTTAATGTCTAAATCACTGTTTGAGGTGTTTTTATGAAATTTGTAGCTAAAATGTATCTTTCAAGTGTGTGTATATATATATATATATATATAATATATATATATATATATATATATATATATATATATATATATATAAGCCAAATTTGACATGTTTATGTAAAATTGTTTTTGAATTATGTGGGGGTCAAAAGTGGCTCCAAATGGTTCGTGTAATATTACTTACGGTAACGCTCGCCGTTCTGTTAGCTTGAACTTGAATTTACACGCTACCGCTTGTCTAGATATAAAAATATTGTACTTTGACTGAAAAGAGCTTCAAGCAGATAGATAATTCGCTCTTAATCCATATTAATATTATAAATGTGTAAGTAACTTTGTTTGTCCCTCTCGCTTGCTCGCCAAAACTACTGTACCGATTTACAGTAGTTTTTGCTACACAGAAAGTATAGAGCCTGAGAAAGGACATAGGCTATATTTTAATTGGAAAAAGGGTTATAAAGGGTTCTTAAAGGGGACAGATATTAAGGGCTTCAATGCGAGCGAAGCCGCAGGCGATAAGCTAGTTAAAACTAAGAAACGTAATTCACCATTTGTGTTGTTATAGTTCTTAATAGTCATGCTTTTGGCCAAGCCAAGTGATTTCTCTTAAAAGTGTTCGACGAAGAAGATATCGACATAACGTCTAACTTTGGGAGAAAGGTTCTAATATAGGCGGCAACTTTCAATCATCAATGTTTCTGTGTTTGAAGATAAAGGATAACAACACCTTAGCGAAGAAAGGCAAAGATTGAACACAAGACAGAGTCTGTCTTGTGTTCAATCTGCTGGTCTCAAATATCACAATAGAATTTGAAATTTAAATATTTATAGTCACTAATCTCTGCACTTAATATACAGCTTATTACTAATAAGCTCAATAAGCTGTACTTGGTCAAAGAAATATTTTCCTATGTGTAAATTTAATATTTAGCCTTGTACGTAAGTAAGATATAAATATATAAGAATAGTAAACATATTAAGACGATGAAGAAGAGTGGTTCACTCTATCGCACCGAATTTATGTGACAAAGGAAACAACGGATGGCGAATCGCTCTAAAAATACAGTCAGCCGCCTCAAAAGATAGTACGATGTAAACAGTAGGCAATATATTCCGCGGCATCAACCTGTATTAACATACCGGCATAAATCTAGTCGGGCACTTGGAGTCAGCGCCATTGTACTGACTGGTTGAATAATATTCGCATAAATCACTCCGGAATTAATTAATGTAGCCGACTGTACTAACATACCTATATAATAACGAGTGAATTTATAGTGACGTAATATTGTTTAATTTACGACTGCGTTCAGTTGTTTGTTCGCCCATTTGGGGAAAAGAAAATGTTTTTTCTCCACAAGTTGCTATATCTTCATGACGTATTTTTGTACCTCAATAGGACGTCTTGGTTTTCTCACAGCTTTATGTTTGCAGGCCAGTGCATCAGGGAAATTGGAATGGCATAACTGTTCATCGCATATTGAAAGTTCGAGATGGTTGAGTGACCTGAATGCTCACCAACACTTTCCTCGTAGGTGGAGTGAGGACCGGTTGATTGGTTTGATGGTCTTTCTTTCATGTTACGATATTAACAGGTGATATAAATTATAAATACTGTCATATGTTTTATCAACTTATAAACATGAGCAATAAGAGCAAATATTTAGGCAAGTGTGGGATTATTAAATTCATTATAGAGAATTTGTTTCTATCATTGTGTCTTCCTTAAACTATCAATACTATCAGGTAAACGTTCATGACAGTTACAATTTAATTAATTAAATTATGAAATTTAGGGGATTACTAGTATATTACCTTACATATAAAATCTATGTAAGCGTAATAATACACCAATCTTAGACTAGGACGATAAAATATTTATGGAAATAAAAAGACACTTGAAAGTTCGGCTAAAGACCAAGCGAGAACACTATTACATAAAAAAAAAATCCCTTGAAGTATTTAATAGAATATACTAATATAACACGAGTCACGGTTAAATTTAATGTCAAATTTTGTTCGTCGACAAATACTTATAGCGGGAAACGAGGCGAGTTCGAGGCGGGATCGACGCTCAGGAAACTCTGCACGCACAATAGAATATACACAAACAACTTGAATAGCAAGTCGCTAACTCGGAGTCGCCGATGAGGAGCACCGTGGTGCACCATGCCACTGGCTGCAACCGCTTACCTTCAGTCAATGAGCGCGGCGGTGCATTGCGAGCGGGCGCCTACGCCGTCCATTTTACAGCCGACGGCGCCTCACCGGCGGGTCGTCGTGCCGGACACGTCGCGTCAAGCACTCGGAAGGGCCGCGTATCTGTCTTGTTTACGCGCGGCGAGGGAAGAGACAAAAAAAAACAAACAATCGATAGATCGGCGTAGCAGGCGAGCGCTCGCGGACAGGAAACAGGGATAATAGCTGGCGCGTCGTCCGGTCGCGCTTGGCGTCGTGGGGGTGGGGTGGTCGTACGGGGGTGCGGCGACGCCCAGGGGCGTGGCCTGGGCTCGCCTGCGCGGGATCAACAGCCCCCGCGAGATAGTTGCGAGATTCCCCCGCAGCGGTGCTTTGTGCCCCGGCCGAAGTGGAGACGTCACGAATCCACTCGCCTGTGTGCGTATGCCCATCTACGGGAACGTGCCATTGCAATTAAGGACCCTTATCGCGTGACGGTATGTCGTAGATGTCTATGTGACGTATGAAACATCAATTAACAAAGAGGTAATTGTACACGAGTACGTGAAGAGTTTAAAGAAGATTTTTTTTTTTTAATTTATTAAAGCTTCACCTCCTTTTTCCTAAATATTTTGGAAAATTACATATATCGTTTACGATATATCTATCAAATAACATTATTAACATTCAGTTTCTCAGTTCATCTTTTACGAAAAGTCCACAACTTTGTTCAAAATTTAAGGATGTCTTTGTGGGTAAAATTTTAGCAGCAAACCACTATAGTTAAGTGTCGTGCATTATAGATTATAAAATCTGATATCCTTACTAGTAATTTAGAAACACTCACACTGTTGGCAAAAAATTAACGCCCAAAATAAAAAAATGCCTTCTAAGTTTGACCATTTAGCTACGAGGGCGTTATAGATTAAAAGCCTCAACAATTTGCTATTTGTATTGAACCAAAAACATTCTTCCATCAGTATATCGATAATAATTATTACAATAATACTTGTGTTGCGAGAGAAAGCAATAATTGGACTCCAATCAGATAGTTCTTGATAGTGCAATATGCATTAATCTTACCTAGATATGTACTTATGTGTAACAATGAACGTATTCGTGGGATGGGCTACAGAAATTATCATAGTGAGGTCTCAACTATTTCCATTTATATTTCGAAAACTATAATATACAACATGAATAGTAATAATAAAAGTTCAAAACTTAAAAAACAACATTTTAAAACATCATTTTCTTCATAATTATTATTATTCTATCATATACATCAAATGTTCGAAGCAAATTGTATGCTTTTGATAGTGAAATTTGCTACGAAACAGAATTTTAATTATTGATTTATCTATAATATTTTGTGTATAACATGTCCTACAGGTAATCGTATCAAGAAAGTAACTAAACAGTGTGTTTCTTTTTTACTATGATATATATATATATACATATATTTAGTGCATTTATTTATTTCTACGCTTCAAATAATAATGTCGATTACTTTCGAGTATTATAAGAGAGACTGAATCTATTTGTAATTAACAATGTCCTACAGGTAATCGTATCAAGAAAGTAACTAAACAGTGTGTTTCTTTTATACTATGATATATATATATATATATATATATATATATATATATATACAAATATTTAGTGCATTACTTATTTATTTCTACGCTTCAAATAATAATGTCGATTGCTTAACCTTTAGCATCGAAACGAAAATAATTCTAAATAAAACAATTGCATGAAAGAGAGGAATAAGGATTTTTAATTTATTTTTTGGTCAAATCATTTTTAACGGCATAATCTAACCACAGGAGGAATATATCATAATAACGTGTTCAAAATCTGCAATAGGATAAGAATTTGGCACAGCTAGATTTAATATCAATGTATTATTCAACTAGACAAACAGACCTTTTAAGCTTGACTTGTATATGTTGTTAATGTTCTATAAAATACCGAATATAATTTAATTGTAATAAACACGTAGAATAATTAAAACCGTATGATTTTATTGAGCCATTTTTTCAACGCTCTATTGAATTTTGTTAAAGCCATAGAAAAGATTTTACTGTCGTACCAAAACTGAGGCAAGACAGATTAAACATGATCTGATTGTACGAATATATTAAAACGAGTTTGTTAAAATCTATTCTGGTAATAATATCCTATATAATAATATACTATTAACTAACTACATAGAATTAGAGATGGGTCGTATCGCTTTTTCTGAGTACCGTATCTGAATCAGATTTCGATTTCAAATATCAGATTTCGAAACTATGTATTTTAATATCTGGATATTTAAAAAAAAAAATAAAAAAAAATTTCATTAAAAATAGAAATTGAAGTAATATAAAAATGATTTATTTCAACATCTTATATATCGCTTAAAATAATTGAGTTTAACATATTCTTACGCGCAATCATTAGTGACAATATTTTTATAATTTGTGTAAGAAATAATACATTCAGTATTATAACTTAGGGCGGAAGAATTTAAAATATACACACAAAGCACATAAGCCTTGGTCTGATTTCCACCCAAGCAGCACAGCACTATTAAATTATATTTTTCTTTTTGTGTAGTTTTATTTTTTTTTCCAAAAATATGAATAAAATTTAACGAATAAAAATATTCACAAAAAATTTACCTCCTAAAAAATTTCCATTTATATTTTTCTTCCTTAATTTAGGCAGAAAATTCTTAAGTAGTAAGTTGGCATCCCTTACTATTACGTGCTAGGTACCAATGCAATCCAGCTCAAGGTTAAACAAAATTTAAAGACATCGTTAATACCGTAATTCGTATTTAAATGCAACTAAAAATGTTTTTTTCCATGCTGTTAAGATTCAAAATTACTTAACTACGCGCTTTGTCGCCCGTTACGGCTCAAGGCTAAACAAAACAATAAAAATATACTTAATAATATCGTTGTAGTAATCGTTGATACCATGATTAGTATTTAATTGAAACGGATCTTATTGGTATGGTTTTAAGATTCAAAATTACTTAACTTATTCAAAATATCTGTTTAAAAATCTGATATTGTGCCTTGCTTGCCGTCCCGCTCTAACTAGTGAGTATTTGTATCTCACGCGCTTTGTCTCTCGATATCTGATATCGTGCATTGCTTGCCGTCCCGCTCTAACTAGTGAGTATTTGTATCTCACGCGCTTTGTCTCTCGAAATCTGTTTAAAAATCAGATATTGTGGCAAACGCGTATGATATCGCGATTCGTGTCGGTATAGCGAGCGAGCACGTTACATCAGATTTCGGAAATATCAGATATTGTAAAATACATAGATATTGAACGAGCCAGTAAGCGATATTCGGATATTGTACTAATATCTTGTTTTCATATCTGATACGATATGTATCGCCCACCACTACATAGAATAGATTAAGAACATACATTTAATTATGCTTTTAGATGTCGTGGTCTCATGCGAGTGGCGGTGGGTGGGGGGTGGGTGCGTACTATAATATTTGCGAACTTATAGCAACATTAATGAACATCCGTACTAATATTATGAATGTGAATGTAAGTTTGTTCGTTACACTTTCACGCCAAACCTGCTCAACCGATTATCATGAAACTTTGTAACCATATTCTTAAAGGTATCAAAAAGGACAAAACATACTTTTCATTAGTAAAAATGTATATTTATTTTAATAAAAAGTATTTAAATGCTTCAACTAGACCGAAATAAAAGACCGACGACCCGAATGACGTAGTCGTAACTGTAGCTGCCTCCTGCGTCAGAGGGTGTGGGTTCGACCCCCACTACTGGAAAAATATTGTGTGATGAACATAGTGTTTTTCTAGTGTCTAGGTGTTTATATATGATTTAATTTACAAATAAAAAGTATGTTTATCAGTTATCTAGTACACATAGTTTGCTACCATACGTTTAGTACCATACGTTGCTTAGTTTGGGATAAGAGAAAGTTGTGTAAAAATGTGTCCTAATGTATATAAAACCTAGTAATAAATAAAATAAAGGGGGGTGTCCATAATATATGTTCATATAATGATACTGCAATTTCACACCGGCCGACGTTAACGCTGAACTCGAAGTCCTCCCGCTTAATCGGCTCGGGAGATTAAAAATTCAAACGCGGATAAATACGCTCGCCTAATTAGGGAGCTAAAGTGAGTTTTATCGTCACGGAGGCGTTAAGAGGGGCCGAATGAACCGCCTCTCCCCTCCCAACTGATAATTCGCCGGGCTCTCATTGAGCATTTATAATTGACTTCGGCTTACTCGCCAGCGTTTTGAGACTCGGGTATAGGCGCTCTGTACTGTAAGAATGGCGCTCTGAGGTTGCCTTATGACTGTTTTTATATAATTCTAACTTGCTGACCTATGCAAAAACTCCATATTTTAAATTGCACAAAACAGTACGCATTTAAATTAGGCTCCAACGATTGCAATCAATATTATAAGTTACACTTAACTTGTTCATTAAGGTTTTTTAATTATTGAATTATTCTACAAAGCTGTCATCAGAATTACTGACTTTTAATGGAACTCCTATTTTCTGCCACGTGAACGGATTGAATGGGTACAATGCGCTCTTATTATTATAGGATAGAATAAAAATAAAAAAGAATTAAAGAAACAACCTATAAGAAACAACAAACAACATGTCCCACTGCCGGGTAAAGGCGTCCTCTGTATAGAGGGCATCAGGTCCACCACGCGACCGCACTGCGGATTGGCGGATTCACATATTTTTCTAAATTTTTTACAGTAATATAAAAAACTAACTGCTGCCCGCGACTACATCTGCGTAGAATAGGCTGAAGGCGTAACCTTCAGACAAAAAGACAGTTGTACATAAAATATGTATATAAATTATAGCCTGTCTTATTATGATGTATAAGCTATATTATTGTAAAGTTCAGCCCCGGATCTTCAATTTTTTTTGGGTGGGGCAAAAACTGAAAAATGCCACCCACGCCCACTTATATTTATTTTTACCTTTATCATCTATACAGGGTGGCTTTTCTAAAGATGCCTAAATTCACACAGGAGGTTTAGACTCGGTAGTTTAAACGTGTATAAACAAACTTTTTCTTTTTAAAGAAATTCCCTAAAAGACAGAACTTGTTGACAATGCGGTAGTCATTCATAAATGTGTCGTATACTTTTGTAACGAATTTGTATCCGTGTTAGTTATGAATGATCGCGCGTAAAATAAATGAGTTACCCATAAATCACGCACTTTTTGAGATAAGTTCAAATGAATGTATTTAATTAATTAAGAGTGATTTTAAATATTTATCATTTTTATATAACATTATTTATGTCTAGAATTTAATAAAAAAAATGGATACACTTAGAAAAACATGGGGGGTGAGAATCAATAAACTCTTTGAAGGCGATTTGGACTGCCACATCGGAGTTGAATTTTTTTCCTTGTCAGAA